GAACATTTCATCGGGTAGCATTTTTAAGATTTTAAAAGAACTTTTAGGAGTCAGGAAAGTATCTGCGAGGTGGATCCCACACATTTTAAATGATGAGCAAAAAAGAAAGCGATTGCAAATTTCTCGAAAACTATTGAAAATTTACGGAAAATGTGATAAAAGACGTCTACATGAAATTGTTACGGGGGATAAAACTTGGCTACATTTTTATGAACCTGAGAGAAAACTGGGAAACAAAATATGGCTCCTTAAACAAAGTAAACGACCTACCATTGCTAAACGCGGCAAGACAGCAAGGAAGGTTTTGTATGCAATCTTTTTTTATTCTAACGGGGTAGTCGCTCAAATTCCAATTAAAAAGGGCAGAAGTTGTTTACGTGAAAAAAATATTGTCTGAGGTACAAAAACATTACAAAAATAGAAGATCAAAGTCAGGAATGAGGGGGATCAAGCTTTTACATGATAATGCTCCAGCACACACTGCAAAGTACACACAAGATTTCTTGTGTGAAAATGGAATACAGCAACTGGATCACCCCCCTTATTCACCAGATTTATCCCCATGTGACTTTTTCTTATTCCCTAAATTGAAAAAAATGCTATCTGGACGGCGTTTCCATTCCCGTTCTGCATTAGGTTCAGCGGTGTATCAGTGTCTAAAGAGTATACCTCTTTCGGAGTATAGAGGCGCGTTCCAAAGCTGGATAAAACGACTTCAAAGATGTGTTGAAGTAAAGGGTGATTATTTTGAAGGAATGTAAATAAAATAGAAAATAATACTATGTTATTTCTTACTGTATTGAAGAAGTCTCACTATTTAATGAATAGCCCTCGTAAAGCCAATGGGCCGGATGAAATAAACCCTACCTTGCTTAAACAAGCTGCTACAAAACTTGCAGAACCTTTAAGTAAACTATTTAATTTATCTTTGCAACAGTCAATAGTTCCAGATCAGTGGAAAATTGCAAATGTAACCCCCGTGTATAAAAATGGCGCAAAGAATGTCGTTAGTAATTATAGACCTATATCTTTACTTAGTGTCCTAGGGAAATGTATGGAGCGATGTGTTTTTAAATATTTATATAACTTCATTCATACAAATGATATTTTAACACCAAAGCAATCTGGTTTCAGACCTAATGACTCTACAGTCAACCAATTGTTGAGTATTACAAGTGATTTTTATAAAGCTGTTGATCAAGGGAAGGAGGTTAGAGTCGTATTTTGTGATATTAGTAAAGCTTTTGATAAAGTGTGGCATAGGGGCCTTCTACATAAGTTAGAAAAAATAGGCATCTCCGGAAAATTGCTTAAATGGTTTGAAAATTATTTATACAAAAGGAAGCAACGTGTTGTAATGAATGGAGCGAAATCGGAACTAGAATATATTAAAGCTGGTGTTCCCCAGGGGAGCATTCTTGGTCCACTGCTATTTCTTATTTATATAAATGACCTGGTAGTAGATATAGAATGTATAATAAAACTTTTCGCGGATGATACATCGCTTTATGTTATTGTTGAAAACGCATATAATTCATCTAATCTGATTAATAGCGACCTTGCAAAAATCAATGAGTGGTCAAACACCTGGCTTGTAGCCTTCAACCCTTCCAAAACTGAATGTTTAACAATATCTAGAAAAAATCGAAAACCATTTCATCCATCGCTTGTATTTAACGATGTTCATTTAAAAGAAGTCGATGCACATAGGCATTTGGGAGTTATATTTGCTAGTAATTTATCCTGGAAATTACACGTGGATGAAATTATAGGTAAAGCTTATAGTCGCCTGACAATGATGCGTAGAGTTAAATTTATACTGGATAGGAAAACGTTACAAAATATCTATTTTTCGTTTGTGAGACCTATACTTGAATACGCCGATATCGTTTGGGATAATATACCAGACTACTTAGTAGATAAACTTGAAGGTGTTCAACTTGAAGCTGCTAGAATAGTTACGGGAGGGAATAGAATGGCAGCTAGGTACTTGTTATACAAAGAGGCGGGATGGGTAACCCTATCAAAAAGAAGAGAAAATCATCGTTTAATTCAATTCCATAAAATATATCATAAAAAGACCCCTGATTACTTAGTAAATATTGTCTCCGAGTATGGCAATCATAGACATAGTTACAACACTAGACAAGAAAACTCACTACAAGAAATCCAAACTAGAACCCAACTATACTATAATTCCTTCTTTCCCAGTACAATACGTATTTGGAATAAATTACCTTTGGTGATTCAAAATAATCCATCCCTTTCAAGTCTTAAATCATACTTAAATTCTAATTTATCTAGAATACCCAATTATTTCTTTGTTGGGAGTAGGCTTGGTCAGATTTTACATACGAAACTCAGACTGGAATGCAGTTCTTTGAATTTACATATGTTTCGTAGAAATCTGTGTATTTCTCCACTATGTTCATGCGGCGAGATTGAAAGTATCGAACATTTTTTCTTCCATTGTAACAATTTTATAAGAGTACGAAATAGAACTATTCTTTCAATACCTCATCACATAACTGTTGATATATTACTTTACGGTTCACAAAATCTGTCAGAAAGGGAAAACCAAAATATTTTTCTTGTTGTCCAAAACTTTCTGATAGAAAGCAAAAGATTTTAAAACAAATCACTTGATATTTTTACTACGAGATATTATTCGGTCTCTTTTTTCAGTTCAAATTTTTATTAGTGATGTGGCATGAATGAGTGAGGTAAATTTTATTTTGTTATGTATAAATTGGAATTTTTGGAGATTTTCAGCGACTTCAATTCCAGTAAACTGTTCACAATATAAATGTATGAAAGTTTTCCATATGAGTGTACTATTTTAGGTTTCATTCACATACAATTCTCTCACTTGTTGAATTTGCAGAAAGAGGGATTAATATAAGCCTTATGGCTTGTTTCCCAATTCTTTTGCATTTATTACTAGTGTATTGTACCATTGTCAATTTCTTCAATAAAAAATATTGTTTAAACTAAAAAAGACTAAAAGACTAAATACTAAAAAAGGAATGCTTTAAAAGGGTACATTTATATAATAATTTTGAATTTCTTCATGCATTTCTTTTAATTTTTTTTAAACTCTGTGGTTTTGAACACAGATGGGCGGACTGAACGCAAAACTTATGGAAAATAAGGACACTTTATTCCAGTTTATTTCGGATAACTATATACTGAGTATAATTACATCTTATCTTGCATAACATGTTGCATGGAGAATGAGGACGTGTTGTAAAGGACACACAATAAGAATCTGGAATTTTGATCTAAAATATAAATAATCTATACATGTATCCTGAAATAAGAGAATTCTCATGTTATGTAACATAAAAAAAAACTGGAAATTTGATAATTTTGTTATCATTTTCTCCGACATTCCAGGGTTCTCCGATTGCTAAGGGCTTAGCTTCGTATTGTTATGTGAAGGTTCTCATGCCCTTCAAGTTATAAACAAGATATTTATATAAAATAATTGCTTGTATTATCAAGCATGGATACCACTAGATATATTAAATTGATGCTTACTTGACTATATAATTTAGCTCAAGGTAAACATTCTCTCACTTTTCTCAATATTGTTTAAAAGTATCAGTGTGTAAAATGATATATTGCATCAGATAATCCTTTGATCAAATGTCCAAAATTTTTATTTTCGTAAAATTTCTATACAGTATATAGTTTGGCAGGTGATATATTTTTATCTCATTTATTTGTAATTTACGTAAGACTTTTCTAAAAGTTTATGCATATCGATGTACTTAAATATATTTATTAAAATAATCAACTGTATAAAATTAAATGTGTATTGATAAGCACAAAAAGGCATTTGAATTGGGACAAGTCTTTTGCATACTGTTAGACACCCTTTTCAATTATCATCACGTCCAATCAAAAATCAAAGGTTAAATCTAACATTAATTCCATACTTTCTTTAAACTACTAGTACATCAAAAAGTCTCACCTTCAACATGACTCATTATACATGATTATACAGTCTTGCTTTGGCATGCTGTTGAGTCTCTCACTGTGTCTTAACTGTTTCTGCAAATCACACTGATTAATTTCAGAAATTGATTTAAAAGTTTACAATACATTGTATAGTGATGTGAACTAATACAGGCAATTGTCCTTTTCCAAATGCATAGTTCTGCTTGAAATGAAGCGGTTTACGAAATTATAAGGTTTTCAATACATATTCGTATAAGCATGAACTACATCATGCAACACTATTTTGATACAGGATACCCATTAAAGAATCATTTTGCATAAAATATTCTTCAGCTGAACTTAAACATTTTGACTGCATGAAAGATATAAAGTGAATCCCAAAGGCATCAAACAGGCTTCAGCATACTATAAACAAGATATTTTTTAAATCTCTGTTTCTTATGATTGATAACAATACATTTATGTTGTAAACATGACATAGTTTTAGATTGCATTGATACGTTTGCATTTACTTTAAAATTCACATCACAATTCTTTTTTTAAAATTATTTTGAACTTATAATTTCTTCTCTAATACTTTAGGATTCATTGACAGGTCAGATGTGATCACCAGCTATGAATGTAAGAAACAGTGCTCAAGATTTTCTCCGATGTGACATGTGTAAAACAAAAGTATTACAAAGTAACTGCGAATTTTGTGACATAAATTTATGCAAAATGTGTGTTGGGGAGCATCTCTCGGACATTTCCAGTAAACATCGGGTTGTACCATATAAAGATAGACGTTCTACTCCAAATTATCCCATATGTCCAAATCACGAACATTAATCTAGCGAACTTTATTGTGAAGTATGTGACCTTCCTGTATGTGCTACTTGCATATCATCTGATGAACATCAAGGGCATAAATTGATAGATGTTCTGCAAAAACTACACTCCAAAATGGAATATTTAGAAAATGAATTGAAAGATCTAGAGAAAAGAGTGCAACCACAATATGAAGCAATTGTAATTGAAATAAAAACTGAAAAAAACAGAGTTTGAAAAGCATTACGAGGAACTCACGGCAGATATCTCAGAACAAGGAGAAAAATGGCACCAAGAGATCGACAACATTGTCAACAAAATGAAATCTGAGATCAAAGATATGAAAAACAAACACTTGTCTCTCTTAGATAAACAAGAAGAAGAAATTTCACAGAATATTTCTGTTATAAAGCAGTACATTGTTGTTCTCAAGAAAATGGTGGCTTACAATGACATTCACTTTGATAATGTTTTTGCATACAAATCAAAAAATGCTGAATTCCGTGGACTACCCTACACAATCGAAGTTATATTGCCATGTTTCTCATATCAGGATATCAATAAAGAACAGATTTAAGAACTCTTCTGTTCTCTGTCAGCATTATTCATCACAACAATTGAAAATAACTGTACGTCAAATGAATCAAAACCCCAATCAACACCAAGGAAACCACTGCTTGATGAACCAAAAATCATCAACACGATAGCCACTCCTTTTGACAAACAATATAATGTTGCTTGCCTCAGTGATGAAGACATCTGGACGTGTGGGTATGACAACAAAATAAAACTCTACAACCTGAAAGGCAAACTATTAAAGTCAATTTATACCAAGTCAGGGAACATTCCATGTGACATAGCTGTTACTCGAAATAGAGAATTAATATATTCTGATTATGATACGGGGACAGTAAACATCGTAAAGAATAAACCAATTAGCGAAATTCTTAGACTTGAATACTGGAAACCTCTCCGTCTTTGTAATACCTCCTCTGGTGATCTCCTGGTTACAATGAAAAGTGCTCCTTTCACACAAACGAAAATTGTTCGCTATTCAGGCTTCATAGAGAAGCAGACCGTACAGTTTGGTGATAATGATAATCCGCTTTATTTTTCTGGTCCCTCATACTTGTATATTACAGAAAACAGAAACTTGGATATTTGTGTGTGTGATAGTTTAGCTAAAGCGGTAGTTGTTGTTAACGAGGCCGGGAAACTCCGATTCAGATACACATTTCATCCCTTAATTGCTAAAAAGTCTTTTAATCCGTGCGGAATCACCACAGACAGCCAGAGTCAGATCCTGACATCAGATTTTAACAACAATTGTATCCACATTCTGGATCAGGATGGACAGTTCCTGCGATACATTGATAACTGCGATCTACAAGATCCGTGGGGTTTATGTATGGATTCAAAAGATAATCTTTTTGTTGCAGAGTATGGTGGAAGAGTAAAAAAAATCAAATATATGTAAAAAGCTGGCTAACATAAACCAATAGTGATCAAGATTCTTATTGTGCTTGACGATAAAACTAATAAGGAAAGTGACATTGATGATCAGAAACACTGCACTGCAGATCACAGTTTTCATACCTCTGCTATTAGGATCTTTATTTTAGACTCAAAAGAACTATTGATTTTTCCCCTGAAATTATTAATTACAAACAAAAATGATTGAATTAATTTTTTTTCATATTCATTGAAATAATACGCATCTAAACATCCTTTTTATTCAAGTGTATTCTATCATGCAACCTTCTTAGTAAAACACAATTTAATCTGTTATATCGAAATATGAACACTCTAGCTGTCATTAGTTTACAATGCGTAGACAATGCATTTCTTACAATAGGGAAAAAATATGTATGTACAAATATTGTCTGCTTTAGGCTTTTTTACACGAGATGTACATGTATATTAACAAACAAAGACGTCAAAATTCCATAATTAAATAAAAAATGTTCTCCGCAATTTTCTTTTAAGAAATGTCCTCACATGAACAAAATCAATAATGTACAAGTAACAATAGTCCATTTTGATAAGTAGGTAGAGTAAGATGACAATGAGAGAAAGAGTGGGACGAGGACGAAAATGGCATTGGAGGAGGATTAACAGTTGAGAGACATGCCAGGGAAGAAAAGGGATGAAGCTTAAGGTAGAAAGTGGGAAAAGAAAAGAGGGGGAAACGTTTGCAGAAAGGGAGTAAAGAGAAGGATATCCTCTTGAACACAGCCACATAAATCCAACGTATAATTTAAATGGCACAATCAAACTTAAATATTCCAAATTTGATGGAAAAGTAAAAAAAAAAAAGGCGATATATTTAAGCGATGACTAGCTATAGGGTGAACCTTGTGACGGTACATGTTGTCGTTTTGTACATATTGTCGTCGGCGACAATATGTACCTACTCTCACTGCACATATTGTCGTCCATCTGTACATATTGTCGCCGACTGAAAAGTTACATATGTACATATTGACATTATGTGCCTCACCCTCACTGTACATATTGTCGCCCCAAGGATATTGATGTTTAAAGATGTCTTTTGCTGATTTTTGGTAGTTTTGTGAATGTAATTGGTGTGAGAATCACACTTACGTGTCTCGTTTGCTATTTCATGCAGCGTGATTGTGACGGTACATTTTGTCGTCCTGTTCATATTGTCGCCGGCGACAATGTGTACCTTCCCTCACTGCGCATATTGTCGTCCATCAGTGTTATTGTATATGTTAACTTAATTATTCAATTATGAAATTTTACCTGTGGACTAAGTATATACAAGTTAAACAAACAGAATTTACCAAAGCAAAAAAAAAAAAATAATAATCAAACCACCAAGCGAGGGGGGGGGGGGGGGTGCTATATCTGCCTTTGGTATTTGAGAAGATTTTTAAAGATTTTCTGTATATATTCAAATGTAAAACTTTGATCACCCATTGTGGCTCACATTCCCCCTGGGGTCATGACTTGAACAAAATTGATTTTGTTTTTGTTTGTTTGTTTGTTGTAAAAATGTGTTGAAATTGACCCAGTAGTTCTTGAAAAGAAGCTGAAATTATGAATAGTTAACAGACAAACGGACGGTCAGACAAAATGTGATCAGTAAAGCTCACTTGAACTTCCAGTTCAGGAGATCTAAAAATGTTATTTTTTGCGTTATTCCTACATTATTATTAACAATAAATTATATTCATAATATTATATCGGCACATGATCGTATATAAGAATTATTTCCAAATAACATTACTACTGAACAAAAAAAAAAATATTCCTGTATTCAATCTCCAAGTATATATTACAAGAAAAAAAGACTAGCTGATTTATCAGATATCTCAAGAGTTACAGTATCTTGATATGTCATAGTGATGTACATCAATCCTGGACACAATTTTCTGACCAAAAAGTTTTCTCCCTACAGTATTGCGAGTAATGCTGTCTGTCTTCCTCCGTGCGTGTGTGTGTTTGTCAATTTCTCTTTCTTTTCTCAAGTAAATATTCGTCAAAACAATATATCGACGACAATATATACCGACCTTGACTGTACATATTGTCGCCGACGACAATATGTGCTGGTGCTTGACTGTACATTTTGTCGTCCATTATGCAGGAAGAAAATAAGGCTCGTCTCGGTACATATTGTCGCCGGCGACAATATGCACCGATGGACGACAATATGTGCAGTGAGGGTAGGTACATATTGTCGCCGACGACAATATGTACAAAACGACAATATGTACCGTCACAAATCTTCAATCTTTAAGAGGATTTAGACTCTCGGCTCACTTTTGTATATCCTATTTTACGATATATTGGTGTTTTGGACATCGAAGTGAAATCAAAACTTATGAGTCATGGTCAGTAAATTCCTCAATAATAAAATTTGAACACGTTTAGGATATTTTGAAATTAGGTATGTGAAAAGTAACCAGAAAGACTGAGCTCGAGTCGTTCAGGAAACTTTACTTCAAGGTTTTACCCGGATGTGTAAAATCTAAACAATCTCAAAAGGATGTTTCAAGACCTACTGTATACTGAACCTCATCTTAGAATATAGTCGTAATGACTTTTTAAATTTCTTTACAAATTAACCTTAGACAACAACAATCTCTATAAAAGGTATTGTTGATGATCGTCTCACTATGTCCATAGAGGAAGATATCCGCCACCTAATGGCACACTTCAACTTGGATTCATTGACAAAAAGTTTGTTCTCAAAAAAATATTTTCTTTTTCTTGCCTTCATTTGTTACACGTTTTCAAAGGGAGTCAAATGATTCTCATGATTTTGACGCAACTGAGCTGTATGTTCAAATAATTTCTGATGATCTAGAGATTTCCATCCAAATGATGGCAAATGTTTGCATCGCATATTTCATAACCAGCTTGCTAAATTAATTTAACATGGCACAAAGTTCCACTAATACAAGGAATTCATTTCTTCTCGATGGTTCATTGTTGACAAGAGGTAGAATATTATTATAAAAATATCTCTTCAAGAAAGACTGCACCAGATAATACACTTTAATGCCATAATAATAATGCCAGGATCTGAAAAAGAATAATGATATATGTATTATTTCAGATGTTTGTATGAAAGTTATTTATTATAAGACTCATGTTCAGCTTCTTCTGAAAGAGAGAAAGATATTTCTTTTAGATGGGATTGCTTAACTTGTTGTTGACCAAAAGTTTTCTTATGGGTATCCCAGCGACTATGATATGTCTTTGGAGTCGATTTTGCTATATTTGTGCCGATTTCGTGTGAACAGATCCAGGAAGTTTCCCTTGTATTATTATGAATGTTTCACAAGTAAATGTGCATATTATTCAAGTGTTTATGGTAAACTATAGTAGTTTACGAGTATACTCATAATACACAAATACAAGTATATATTTGTCAAACGTGAAATGCCAGTTTAATATTTTGTTTATTTGAAAACCTCATTTGATGATTCATATTTTGTCCACCATTTTTTGGATCAAAAATGGCACCAAGTTACTTTTCGGTTTTAAATGAAATGTGAATGGAAGTTCTTCAAGAATCTTTTCCCTAAAAAAAATATCGCAGTTTGTTAAACTTTTTACATGTACATGAGCTTATCTATTGGCTTTTTTGATATTATCATACAATACATCTTACAGAACATTTAGTTAAAAATTATTAATATAAATAGGACTTAAATTTTTATCAATAATAAGGATTTCATTTTCTAGGGCCAGAGAAGACAATGATTCAGGAAAGCATTGTAACCAATACTCTTGTTTTAAAAAAAACGCAAAATCAATGCCAATATGTTTTGAAGCCAGCTCTGATTATATAAAAAATTCAGTTGATTGTAATAGTAATAGATATAGTTACAATTTCCGTAATTCTACACATAAGCTTGAGAAGTTATACCAACATTGTCTTTGTTGAACCATTGAAAATATTAAATTGACACGCAGCACACCCTCCAATAACCACTGACAAAAATGTTCATAGCAAAAACAAAAAGTATGACATTTTTTCATGACACTGCGAGAAACAATCTGATAATCGATCATTCCAGTTAAGATCAAGCAAGGAGGACAGTGGTAAGTAGTCAGGTAATAAACATTTTGAAAGGAATAAACAAAAGAATATAAGTGCATCGACTACTTTTGTTTTGAAGTGAGGTAAGTAAGTAATTTTGTTTTTCGTTTTAAAAATGAAACCAGGTTACAAATTACAGAGTTACAAACCAATTTATGTTTCACTAATACATGTAACATGAATTTGACTCGATAATTACATTAGGTTTGTTGTCAAATTCTTAATTATTTCATCGCATTTTCATTTTAAGAAAAAGGTCAATATTAATGTAATATTTTTCAAACCCTTAGCAAAAACCAAACACAATAAAACAAAACCAAAAAAACTAGAGAAAAGATGATTTTTGATAATTAGAAAGTGAGGCAAGAAAACATTTATAACCTTTAAGTGCTTAAACAGTATCATGGAATTATAGCATTCATTTCTTAAACAGAAGAATACGATGTATTTACTTTTCGATGCATTCAATTCTTCACTATTTTTTAGTTTCCTGTGGAAGAAGGCTTATACCTATTTCATAGCTGTTGATTTCAATTAGAAATTGAAAAAAATGGTTTAGATTTACAATTAATTTTCGCCTTAATCATAGCTAGAAAATAGCCAGGTAACTTATTTACCAAAAACACTGATATTTAGTAGTTGTTTTTTTATATAATTCATTAACTTTCTGAAAACAAATAGTGACATGAAACAAGATATCTTTTAAACATAATTAACCCGCGCCAATGTAGGTATTTAAAAACAATGGCAAGACATTTGGACTTCACTTGCCAAATTACTATTTGAAGACCAAAAACCTTGATTTAAAGGTGAGATAAAGAACGAAGTTATAATTTTATCATATTATTTAACAGGTAATTGTTACGGTAATTTGGGGGGGAAAATGAATACATCAAGAA